GATTTAAAGAGGATTAGATGATTTGAGAAATCATTTACAGAACAGATTGTTCTAAGGCTCGAAAGGTTTTGAATATAAACCTATTTTGAGATTATGATTGGTTAAAATTATAGACGAGGTTCACTCTGACGTATATGACTTTGTTCCGTCATTGGATGAAATAATCAATAGATTTTGGTTAAAACTATGAACGAGGTTCACTCTGACAGTTATGCCTGCAGCCTGTCATTGGATGAAATAGTTCATAAGATTTTTAGTTGAAATAAGGATGGTCGTTGTGTGCGATGGATAGTCGTTGCTATAAAGGGGAAATTATGGATGTAATAAGGATGGTCGTTGTGTGTGCATGGTATAACTATTGCTATTATATCTTTTAAGATTACAACWKATTGGAGTTCTCACTTCTTGGTGATTTGAGGATTCAGAGATGTTATTCTTATTAGAAATAATAGTATTGATGTTATGGTTACGGGAAAATATGGCCTATGGTCATTGATTTTGATTAAAAGTGTTTTGAAACAGAATACGATTTTCAGCCTTTACTACATGCAATGAATTATCTGAAATTAATGTTTTGGTGATCTTCACCCTGCATTACATAAAAAGGGAACTTCACTAGACATACATGTCTAACCCTCATTTTTGTGTTTTCAAAAATATGTGTGCAAGTAATGATAAAAAGGGAAAGAGCATTATGTGAATTACTTCCCTATGTGCTTAGCTGTGTGAAGATCTTAATTAGCTATGTTTTTGGAGCATAGATGCTAGGATACAAGAGCATGTAATTTTTGAATTTTTCAGTTATGTATTTCACGTTATAGACTCTTGTATTATGGACCTTTGTGGGGGAAAACATGTATTCTATGTATGAAATATGTGTTATATGCAATGTATGGATTTGGGGTTGTTACATTCTTCTTAATGAATCTAATTGGGTCAAAATTACACTAAATGGGTCATAGTTAGTCTAACTAGTTGTTAATACGACTAGTTGGGTAGAATGTGTCTTAAGTGTCCTTGATGTGTCCATGTACACTCATTGGGTATATTGGGCCTAATTAGTTATAATCGAGTCATTTGGATCAAAATGACAATAAATGGGTCATAATTAATTTGATTAGACCCTAGTTGGTTAATAGGCCCATTTATCCATAAGGATTCTAATTRGCCCAAAATGACACTAATTGGGTCATTTTTAGTTTGATCAGACCTTAATGGGTATGATGTGCTAAATTCGTCAGAACTTGTCTAATCAAACATTAATTGGAGTGATTGAGGGTCCATTTGGTGTTAGTGGATATAATTGGCCTATTTCTCCTTAAGAAATCCAATTGGGTCAACACGACTCAAACTAGGTCAGAATTAGTCTTTTTAGACCCAAATGGGTCTGATGGGCACAATTCTCCATACAGAGTCTAATTTGGTCAAAATGACTCTAAATAGGCCATATTTGGTTTGTTCAAACCTTAATGGTTATCATGGGCTTATTTCTCCTATTCGAGTCTAATTGAGCCATAATGGTACTAAATGGTTGAAAATTAGTATAATCAGACATTAATGGAGTAACTGAGGCGGAACGGGCCTGAACAGCCCTTTGTGGGTCCAAATGGTGGTAGTGGATATGATGGGCCTAATTCTCGTTAAAAAGTCCGATTGAGTCAAAATGACACCAACTAGGTCATAAATAGTCTCATTAGACCCTGATGCGTTTAATGGGGCCTTTTCTTCGTAATGAGTCTAATTGGGTCAAAATGACACTCAATGGTTCATAGTTAGTCTAACTAGTTGTTAATACGACTAGTTGGGTAGAATGTGTCTTAAGTGTCCTTGATGGGTCCATGTACACTCATTGGGTATAT